TAGATAGAGATAGTTACCTAATATAATAATAATATTAGTAGTCTTTATAAAGTAGTAGAACTATTACTTATAAGCTATATATAGAAGAAACTCTCTTCTAAGTAGCTATTTCTTAAAGTAATCTATAAAAGTAACTTAGAAAACTATCTAGTAGAGTTACTAATAGAGCTAGTAGAGAATAGATTATAGTTTTTTTAAATAGTAAAGGTATATAATTTAGATAATTATAGAAGCGTAGATAGTATAAACGTAGCTAGTAATAGTAATAAAAGTAAAGAGTAGAGTATAGATAGAGACTAAAGAAGGTAACTACGTAATAAAAAGTACTTTATAATATAATATTACATATAATATACGCTACGTAGAGTAGACTTAAAAATATAATATATATAAAGAATAAAAAGTAATAGGCTATAATATAAATACTATTATTAGAACTAGTATAGTATAGTTAATAGAGTACTATATAAGCTAGCGCTATAGAATAAACTATAGAGATTATAGGCTAAAGAATATAGATAGATAATACTAATAAGACTAGTATTACTAGTAGTAATATATTATAGTATATAGAACTATAGAAGTAGAATAAATCTAACTTAGACTCTAAGCTTTTATTTAAGTAGATAGGTTAGACTATCTAAGTCTAGAGTTATCTAAGATAAAAAATAATAGATATAAAATAGCTACTTTATATATTTCTAGAATAGAATAGACTATATATAACGTTATATACCTAGCTTCTTAGGTAGAAGAAAGATTTACTATATTATATAGAAGAAAACCTATATATAATAAGCCTTTTACTAGTATCTTTTTAGGTAGACTATTAGATTATTAGTTACTATTATATTCTTTATTACGTAGTGTAGCTATACCTTAAGTGTCTTTTACTTAGATATAGTAGCTTTCTAATATAGTCTTTTAATATAGCCTTTTAGTATAGCCTTTTAGTATATTCTATCTATCTTTTACTAGAACATAGAAGCCTTTTACTAGAGCTTTATACTATATAGTATTATTTAGAGCCTTTTTATAGCTTATTATAATATTATTATATAGCCTAATACTATAATTTAGAAGCTTTTTACTAGTAGAGTAGAGCCTTTTACTATACGCTATACTATTTTAGATCTAGTATAGAATAAACGCTTTAACTAGTTTTTATAGCCTTTAGATATAGAAGTTAGAATTCTAATATAGTTAGTATAATTTAACTTTACTCTTAGCTTTAGTTACTTTTTACTTATAGTGTATAGCTAATTTCTTAAGATATTTCTTCTTTTTATAAATAGCTATAATCTTTTTAGTATAGTAGTAAATAAGCTATATAAGAGATCTAATATAAATAGTACTTTTTTTAAATTTATAAAGTAGCTACTTAGCTATTTATATAAGATTACTATAGTATATAGTAATAGTACTAGTATAAAAGAATATAGTAGAAAGTAAAGTACTTTAGTATTTATAAAAGCTAGTAGTACTTTATTATTTAGAAGTGCTAGTAGTACTCTAGTATTTAGAAAAGCTAGTAGTACTCTAGTATTTAGAAAGGCTAGTAGTACTCTAGTCTTTAGAAGAGCTAGTAGTTATTATACTACTACTAGGCTTAAAGAAATTACTTAGTTTTAGCTTTTTATAAAATTATAAAAGTAGTAAAAAAATAAATTAAAGTAGTAGTAGAGCTTATATCTATAGTAGAGATATATTAATTTTAAAGTAAGTGCGTTTAGTTAATATAATTCTAGTAGAAAAGAAAGTGTAAGTAAGTAGATATAGAGATAGTATACTATAGTAAGATAAAATAAAGTATCTAAAGCGTAATTTAGTAAAAAGATAAATAGAAAAGTAAAGATAATAAGTAGTAAAATATAATAAGAGAAGATAGAGCTAGCACGCTCTAAAGCTAGAGAAATAATATTCTAGACTAGCTAGCTACTAATACTAAGTATAATAGAGTATATATAGCTATAGAGACACTAAATTTAACTCTAGAAGTACTTATTTTAAGTACTTAATTTAGTAACTAATTCTAACTATAGATATCTAATTTTAGCTTTACTTTAAGTCTAAAATCTAGCTATAAATACTAAAATTTAGCTATAGATATTAAATTTTAGCTATAAATACTAAATTTAGATATAAAAATAAGCTATAGAGGTATCTATTTTAAGTACTTAATTTAGTAACTAATTCTAACTATAGATATCTAATTTTAGTCTTACTTTAAGTTTTAAATTTAGCTATAAGTATTAAAATTAGCTATAAAGGCGCTATTTTTTAGCTATAGAAGTACTAAATTCTAGCTATAGAAGTGCTTATTTTAAGTACTTAATTTAGTAACTAATTTTAACTATAGATATCTAATTTTAGCTTTACTTTAAGTCTAAAATATTAGCTATAGATATTAAAATTTAGCTATAGATATTAAAATTAGTTATAAAAGTACTTTTTTTTAGCTATAGAGGCGCTAAATTCTAGCTATAGAAGTACTAAATTCTAGCTATAAAGGCGCTTATTTTAAGTACTTAATTTAGTAACTAATTCTAACTATAGATACTTAATTTTAGTTTTACTTTAAGTCTAAAATTTAGCTATAGATATTAAAATTTAGCTATAAGTGCTAAATTCTAGCTATATATAAACTATACTAGTAGTAAGTATAGTAATTACGTAAAGAACTTTAAAATTTAGCTCTAAACTTCTCTACTTTATAACTTTATAATATAAGTAGCTATTAATAAGCTAAGTAAAGTATTAGATTTACATAGTTATTTTATATAAAATAGTCTACTTAGATTTTATCTAAACTCTTAAGTAGTAGAGTTTAAAAGCTTTAGAGCTACTACTTTAGAGCTACTTTCTATTTCTTATTAGTACTTATTACTTCTACTAAAAATTACTTAAGCCTAGTAGCTCTAAGATATTCTCTTAGATAGATTAATATCTATAAGTAATATATTAAGAAAAGATACTTCTAGAATTATAAGGTTTTTAAAATATATATAATTCTAAAACTATACTTATATATAGCTTAATATTTAATAGAACTTAACTTAGGTTAATATCTATAAGTAATATAGTAAGAAGAAGTACTTCTAGAATTATAAGCTTTCTAAAATACTTATAATTTAGAGATTAGTTTTATCTACGTAGTTATAGTGTAGCTAAAATAATTTAAATTATAAATTTATATTAAAATAGATAATATTAGTTATCTAATATTACTTATAGGTCTACTAATATTATACTTACTATAGCTAATATTACTTCTACGTCTACTAATACTATACTATATACTAGTAATATTATACTATAAGATTACTACGTATATACTATAAATTATATAATAATAGTCTATTATTATATATTCTAATAAAGTTAGATTAATAAAAAGTCTTAGTAAAAAGTATAGACTTTTTTTAATTTAACTTTTCTAAGTAAATATTTACTTTATCTTTCTAATAACTTTTATATAGTATATAAGCTATAAATCTAGTTTATTAATATAGAAAAGATATAAAAAAGTTAGATTTTTTTCTAAATCTAATCTCTAAGTCTATACTATACTTTAATTCTCTAAGATAGACTATATTTTAATAAGTATACTCTAATTATTTCTACTTACTTAACTTCTTAAGTTTATAGTCTAAGATAGCTTATTTATTTTTATTTTTAGTAGTAGTAGCTTATAAAAGCCTAGTTAGCTCTAAAATAAACTCTAATAGCGTATTACTATCTCTAATAATTAAGACTAAGTTAGTAATACTTAAAGAAGCTTCTAATAAATTTATAAGTTTCTTAGTAGATAGTATTACTACTTTTAGAGATATAAAAGCTAATTTCTTTTAGTTATTATCTATTACGTATAAGAATAGTATAGCTTACTTACTACTATATTATATTATACTAGAGAGACTTACTTTAGAGCTTATTATATCTAAATAGTATATATAAGAGTATTATAAAGTAGAGTAATTTAAATATTAAATAATAAAGTTAGTTAAATACTAGATATATAATATTAGACTATAATTAAGTATATTATTCTAAAAAGACTAGAGATAAATTACTACTAAGCTATAATAGTAATTCTAAGGTATTTATACCTATAGCTAAGTTAGCCTAGACTCTTATAGGCTAAAGCCTAATACTACCTTTCTAACTAATTTAAGCTATTCTACTACTATTATATATTTATATAGCGCCTAAAAAGTATAGTATAATTTTCTTAATTATATAATAAAATACTTTACTCTTATTAGACTATAATAGAATATATTCTATAGCTTTTAAATATATTATATTTTATAGAATATATTTTACTACTATTCTATAAATTACTTATTACTAAATATAGGTATATAATAGGTTATATAATATTATATTCTTAGTATTATATTAAATATAATAATTACTAAACAGGCTCTAATAGAAGGTTATAGTAGTTCTTTTATAATATATCTACGTAAAGACTACTATAGAGAACTGCGTTGTAAGCTTTATCGCACTATAGCGCTAAGTAAATACAGCCGTAGTGCCCGCGATTAAGAGAAGCTTTCGATGTAATAGCCTCTTTTATCACGCGATTCAAAAACGACATTACAGTCCGCTTCGTGCACGCCTTAACTATCTATGTCTGAATCTGCGACAAGCATGCGAGACGACTACCGCAGCAGTATGCGCAAGAACCCAACCCCGAAGAGCACGCGCTGCCACTACAGCTGGTACCTCTCGATCTATACTCAATTAATTTCACGACAACATCGGGCGCGAGACGCGGGCAACTAAGTCTTGTATTGGTCATGCGACGATGTAAATGAATGTGCTAAGGAAACCCCAAATGCGCGGCTCCACTGCGACGTCCTCCGTGCCAGCGTCGGTACAATCCCTCGTGTACTTCGCCTCCGCCTCCGCGTTTATATCAAGATCTGATCACGAGACGCGACGTCCGATCCTGCATCTTCCACCAGTCTGTGTGCGACGTGGTTTTTTTGGCCTCACATGGCGAAGTTCTTCGTCTTCACCCACTCCTCGAAGCCCGGAACGTTGGCGTACAGCGCCCGCTTGTGACGCGAGAGCGCGAACCTGCCTGATGTGGGATCGGTCACGGGGGTGTTGCAGACGCCACCACCCGTCTCGTTGGGAGGGACGATGATAGTGGCAAGCGTACTGCCTGCGGCCGATCCATGATCACTGTAGATCTCGGTAGCCGTCGCACTGACCTTGGCGCCCTTCGTGATGCCTTCGTTGATTGTAGTGCGCACGGCTTGCGCGTCGGGGCCAACAAGGCAGTCCGGTGTGCAGGTTGGGCACGAGGGAAAGTATCTTGCGCCGATGACTCCGCTTCCCAGGCTTACGATAGGACCGGCGATGTAGGGGTTCTTGAGGAACTCCCAAATGCTCTGGGCGGCGGGCTTCGCGGCGTTGATCTGGTTTACCACGGCTTCAGTTTGGGCAGGGAAGTAGTAGTTGGCCAGGATGGGGAAGCCATAAACACAGTCGCGAATGCGGCGGCAAACGTCTTGACGCCGCACCAGGTCGCCAAGCTGCAAAGGAGCGTTCGGGCTTGTCGAGACGCCTACATTCGCTCGCTTCGCTAGGTCCGGTGATGGGTTGTTGAGGTCGTATTCGGTAAAGTTGAATGGAAAGTCCCTGCCGTACTCCAGAGGCGCAAAGCTGGCAACACGAGCCTCGCCGGACCAGTCCTCGGGCTTAACACCAGTGAAGGCTTCTTGAGAGAGTTGCTTCCAGCGCCAGAGCTCGCCGTCCATCTCGAAGAAGTCGCCATGCGTGATGCCCAACGTGAAGGCTGGTTCTTCAACAGCTCGTCGCTTGCTTTGGCCACTGATGACGTTGTAACCACCGAAGGAACCGTCTTGGTAGACGTTGACGCATCCAGTGTTAGCAGTCGATACGGCTTGCGATGGGTCGCAGTCTACATCGTCTGGATAAAAAACGACAAGAGAAGCGGGATCGTCTCCATCCTCGCGTTCGATGGTAACAGAGCTGGTGAGTGAGCCTAGATATGTGGGGTCGTAGCATGTGTCATCCAGAATGGCTTGCCGAGACTCGAGCCTTTCGCCATTGCAATCGAAGCCGGCATAGAATGTGAGGCGGTACGCATTGCTTAGAGGCAATATGGCCGCGAGAAGTGTCGCTGCGTGAATCATGTTGGACCGAGGCGCCGACTTTGACGCGAGAATAAATGCGCTGAAGGATGATAAGCTGTTGGCTGGAGACATACTCGCCTTTTAAGTCTCCAATCTCTTGCTTGCTTGCGATGTAGCCTCCTCGAGACTCTACCGGCTAACATGCTTCCGCCTGGTACATGCATGAATGCGGCAACTCAAGACGTCAATTTGATGTTCAATTGCCGGTACCCGATGAACCGTACGCCTGCAAGGTATTGGCAACGGTATCGTGATCGTGGTTGCAATCCTTCACACCGTGTTGGTTTAGGCCTCCAATTACTACCCCTGGTAGTGACATTCAGTGGGTTTGGCAACAGGATACTCGTGCGGTCGACTTCCAGAACGTACTCAGCATCCTCAGTCCAATCGTTGTTAGTCATAAGGCTCTGGGTTGGAGCTCGTTGATCGCTTCAGCTCGGTACCCCTGAATGTGATGTTCATGAGAGCCTTCGTTGAGGCCCCAACGTTGCTGTGTTGTCCTGGTGTCGTAGCCAAACACGACCGGAAGTCTGTAAGCGCTGTACTGGAACTGACATTCTCGAGAAGGGCCACTGAATGTCTGGGCGGACCACCCCATGACTGGACCATGTTGGTTCTGTGCGAGCAGCGGTAGGCGATTGCAGAGTTTTGCGTACCAAGAGATCACTAAGTACCCCGAGTACAGTATTGATGGAGATGCGCTCATCGCTGCCGACAATTTGCGAGAAGCGTGATCGTCAAGGGTGGTTTTCTCTATCCAAACTACGGTATAGTATGGAGAAACGTCAGATTCGAAAGCGAAAGTAGCCCTTTCCTCGGAATTGGCGTCCAGATGGTCTCTCGCCCTTGTTGGCTGGGTTACTTTACGATGGGTACTTCGCGCACGAGACCAGAGCAACGTGATGGTTCCGTGGCCGAACATCAAACACTCTCCAATTCCATCATGGACGCTCAGACTCCGACCGAGAATAGAGCCGCATCGATCTATCGGTAGCCAAAGGTACGCTCCGTTCCTTCGCTTGCTTGACATGGCGGCCTTATCCTTACCTTGGTCGCCTGACAACCCAACCAATTGACTCCAGCTTGGCGTGTGGGTTTCCAACATTCGCGTCCTGTTGGAATGCGGATTGCGCGCGCTGTGATGGGAAAGCACATGGACCTGCAGATCAATACCAGATGAGGGAGGCTCAGACGGATATGACGACTCCTCGCAAAATCTGCCCGTTTAAGGTTCAGGTGCGGCGAACGTCATAGACTTCGTGTTGGAGCGCGGGTCTCCGGCTGGTGTTGCAATATGCGGGTGATGTGGATGCGGTACCGTGGATGTGGTGCCGCATACCTGTGGGAAGCCCTCACACACGCAACCCCTTCCACGCTTCCTTACCTCTCCACAAAGCAGCCGTGGCGATCGCAAACAAAGCGCCTGAACCACTCGATACCAGCCAGCAACTCACACATCTTTTGGCCATCGACTCACGTACCCTGTAGTCTACCAGCGCCGTTCAAACGAGAGCGAACATGTCCGACGACAAGGACCAACACCCTCAGCCATCTTCTCTGAGCAACAAAACGAACATGGGCGACGCAACGCCACCCACAACGAAAGACGAAGAGAATCAGATGCACCGCGAGTGTGCAGCGACAGGACTGCGAAGCGAGAGGTCGACGTGGTGGCTCAAATTCATCTTCTCCTACTTGGTGACTACGCTTGCCACGTTGCTATACAGCAGGCTCTATGGCAACCCTTGGCGGTCCTGCCCCCCTTGCGAAGCCCGAGATTGCTGAAGACACCGGGCTGAGGCTATTGGGCATAGCGGGCATGGTGGAAGCTGGACGTGGCGGGTTGCCGCGGCGCGGAATGGACGGGCGTGACGCGTAAATTCGATCTGTTGTTAGCTACAGATCAATGGCAGAGGATCAGAGGTCCCTGAACATGCTGTTTGAGATGCTATCGCATGTCCATCAAGCACGTGGTCGTGAAGGTGATGATCGTGAGAAGTTGAGTGAACGTTTTGGCCCGGCGGCAGGCGCTCGGAGCGCGCGGCATGTAAATCTCCGGGGCTGCCTTCCGCTGCCAGCGCCAGCGCCAACGCCCCGAGCCGCACCCCGCAACTGCATGCGCGACGCCCGCAACGCCCATCGTCATCTTCAAAGCAGATACACCACAGTGGATGGGCGAGCGCTCCATGACTTTACGGGCAGGAGGTTCGTCTGCTCTCGCATTGTCGCCGCCCGCCCCCGACCGGCAGTAACCCGCCCGAAAGTTCGACGCATGCTCGCCCAGCCCAGACAGCATCCTCGATAACCTCCGCGCCAGCAGCATATTCGGCGCATACCTTCCGGGGTCAAACGCGCCATCTACGGAGTCTCTACGCCCCGTATGAGAGCGGCATGATCACTGGATGAGGCGAGCAACGGTCGCAACGTCATCGCTCGATCGATGGGGCTAGGACTAGCCCTGTGCGCGATATGCTACACGAGACACCTACACGACACCCATATGCACATCGCCTACACAGGCAAGGGGGGCGTTGGAGCCATAGCTTTTGGGCTTTGCGACCTACCCGTCTGATAGCACGAGTTCGACCGCTTCAACATCACCGTACCAGGACAGGCGTCGCGCCTGCCCCCTAGCGACCCGCCATTCATCGACCATCACGTCCGATTACTCCGCGATATCATACTCATTACGAAGCGACAGCTCGGCGGAGTGGCACTAGGATGGGCATCTACACATAGATGGTCCACCGAGCTCGCAGTTTGTAGAACCGACGTCACGCAATCTCATCGAGCGGAGCTTGAGACCGACGGCATCGCGGACAGGCATGTATGCGCCTATAGTCATCGGTTGAGACAAAACTGGGCGGTGAGGTATTGTGTAAAATTGACGTGTATTCCCAGGGCACCCGAAATCGATTGCGACAACATCCCGCCGACTCTGATTGAGGAGAACGAGTCTACAGTAAATAACTCAATCTGCCATGCACGGTGTGAGACAGGGCATACGCGCCGCAGTATGGCCGAAGCCTCTGGTCATTGATCGGTCTCGGCCTCAGCACCGTCCCAAGCCGACCAACCTACAACACCTCACCGACGCGACGTTGTATGCCGACGACCCCACGTTCCTACGGAATCTCCTCTAAGCGTCCTCGATAGACTTCCCACTACGTTGTGCTTTACCCCGCGTCTCGCTACCCTCGAGCGTCACCATGCAACATTGCGGATTGCGAGAATCACCACGGTGATCGCACCGCACAGCCAGAGTACAACAAAGATCATTTTACAAGGGGTACACTCGTCGGAGTTGCGGTTGTTGCGTCGTAAGTCGGCGTAGTGCGCCGCTGGAAACGCTCCGTAATCCACCATATGCTGAGCTGAAGCATGGACTGGCGCGCCCATCGCTGGGTCAGTCGCCGGGTCGGAGTAGCTTGGTGATGGGTCACTTGCCGGCGGCTTCGCAGTTGGTGAGCAACGCGACGATTGACTGATCATTGCACGAACTTACTTCCGGGTGCGGTGGGTGCGATGAATCGGCCATAGTTGGTGTGGAAGTTCCTTCGAGGCTTGCGCAAGTATGACAAGCGCCATGAAGAGCGGTCGTGCCAGGCCTGCACGTCTTCGCACACTTTGAGCGCCGCAACTGCGCCTCATTCGCATAGCCCTAGTAGAGCATGAATCACCCACACAGTGGCAAGCTCGCATCATGTCTCACATGTCAGCACCTGTTCGCTCTTGTTTCGCCGCACAAAGCATGACAGCGACGTTCGCATCGCGCAGAGTGATGGCCTGTCGGACTCCATGGCGTTAGGGCGATCGTTGCGCGGATGTACTTCCAAGCACTAATCAACATGGAGAAATACTGTGATTGAGTTCAGGTATGCGCAAACACACCTCTGTGGAGATTCACGCTGTCATTGGCACAGAGTACGTCAGAGGCTGTCGACAACTGCAACGAACTGCATCGGCTACAAGTCCTTCGTATGACAAGCACATCATCACGCGTCGCACGTTACGACTCACAAGCATTACGCCACATCAAGGTCACATCGGTACGGCTTGAGCAGATGTTTGCGGTATCCTTAAGACAGGTGTGTGCGTATCACCCGGTCTATCAACGTGTTTCAGATTGATCGCATCCCGATCCTGGCTATCTTTTGATTCGACGTCCGCAGAAACTTCCGCATATGGACACTTCCACAAATGGATTTGCACTGCAATCTCTAGCGCGGACGAGGGGTGATCGCCTGTGGTTCTTGTGCTGTGTTGAACAAACGTTGCTCGCTACCCTAGAAGACCTTCCCCACCATACCATTCCGGCGCATCATCGTCTCCTTCGTCTCAAGAGCGTCGTACGAAGTCGCACTGTAAATGTCGTCGGAAAAGCCTAGAAGATCGTCCAGGCTGATCACCTCGTCAGGGGCCTTCCAGCCCAGCTCCGTCGGCAAGCGCTCGTTTTCTACACGACAATTAGCATAAAATTGCAATACACAAAGGTTAGATACGTACCGAAGAAGTACTCTACTAGATCGCGCCTCGCCGTCTTCTCCGTCTTGTTGCCGAAGACGAGCATGTATCCGGCGCCTTCACCCGCGCTGAAGTCTGCGGCCAGCTCCGACAGAGCGAACTTGGGGTTGTACTTCACCGAATCGATCATACGGGCGAGACGTGCGTTGGCGGCCATTTGGATGTCTATGAGGTCGTCGGTCCAGTAGGCACGGGTTTGATCGTAGATGGTGGAGTTGAAGGAGATGGCATCGTCGTTGAAGTATTTGTCCGAACGGCTAGATTGTGATATCGCGTTAGTCTTACGTTTTCCAGTGTAGGCTCTCGAATCGACCGATAGACTTAGCGAAGAGCTACAGGACTTACCTCAGACTTGCATCATGCTCCAAGATGTTGTGGTTGCCGAGCGTATCGAGACCCCAAGTCGTGGTGTTCGGGCCGGGGTTCGTCGTCAGCGCAAAGTTGTACAGTAACTCTGAGATGTCATCGCCGACGCTGATAGCGTTTCCTAGGGCGTGTTTGATTTGCGGAAGCGTGAAGTTGCGGCCTTCGCGAGGGAGGAAGCCATGGTTCGCCAGTGTGTTTAGCATGGGGCATGGGCCTCGTGCTGGAAGATGTCAGTATCTGCTGTGGTGAGCAGTTAGGAAGACACGGAACATACATTCTCCGGGACCAGCTGGGTGCCAGCTCGCGAGAGAGCCTTGGGCGTTGACGACGCCAACGCTTGCAAGCGCGACAGCGACAAGAGATGAAATGCGTGTCATGTTGTTCGCTAAGAAGAAAAGATATGTGAGGAGGGTAACGTGGAGAAGTGGTGAGTTGTTGCTGTCGTACTGTCGCACTGGATCAAGACTGAATGCACGAATCCGACCAAAACACGCCGGAGATCTATCTTATACTTCCTTCCGCACAGTAAGATGAGCAAACTCACATAGCCCGCACTCGGTCATCTTGGCTTCAAATAAAGTCGCTCTATCCTAAATGGCATCTCAAACATTCCTATAGTGCTCATTACGTGGACTTCGCAACTTAAGCCCCTTCCGGCTCATCGCACGAGATGAGTGTACTCAGGCCCCCTGGATTTGGTCATCAGCGAGGCACTCTCGGTGCCCGAGCTCCCGAGCAGTGGTACGGTGAACGTGATGACGTTTGGAAACTGTGGAGAGAGACTTGTACGTATTAACAATCATTGCGCGTTTACTGGTTGCGCACCGCCAGGTAGGTCCCTGCTGGCGTCCGCGGAAAACAAGTTCGGACGTCTTGACGGACCCTAGTGTCTGCGGGAGGTGTTGGATGCGCACTCATGGTTCAGTTGCCTTCACCACTGAACACACAATCAAATTCCCACTCGAAAACCCAACAGACACCTGGTGATGTTTGTTCAGCTGTCGTCACACTCTCTGTGTGCAGGCCCAGGTGGGCTTGCTTTTGGCTGGCCAGTTCCCCTCGTGACAATTCAAGAACGGGCAAAGTCGCGAAGGTGGTTTTGACCGGGGCGCAGCAAGCATCGCGTAGCGAAGGACGCGTGAACTAGCGCCACTCGGCTGCTCAGCCTCCTTCCCGAGGTCCCGTCAGAACCGGAACGCCAAGACCACCGCACCCGTTGCCCGTGCCCGTGTCGTTTTGCAATGTGGGGAATCTGACGATCATCCGCTCGCTGTCTTGCGTGTCTTTGCCAATATGCCATCGTTGATAATACCAGCATGTTGCATCTTCACTCGAAACAAAGCCGAAGCTATCTGCGGAACGAGCGCAACGCACTACGACGCGGTCAGCCTCTCTCAACCCTGAATGACAGCTGCGTCACAAGCTCCGGTGCGGAATGGGAGTGCGCAGGTACTAAGATACTCTATCGGGTACGACGCCAGACAGCAGTCGCTATTCCATAAGGTGCAATACTGCGGCAACTGCGTGCACCACATATGCGGCCGACGTACACCATCGCACGGGGCAGTGCACTGCAATCCTTAGCGCGAAGGACAGCTCGCAGGCGTACAAAGTATGAACAGCCCAGATTTCTGTCAGATGCTGAGCATCAGGACGCGCGCTGTCTGCACTCGCACGGGCCAACCGGGCAATGGATTGTCATCTCTCACCGGTCCCAGAACTAATTCTTACTTCTTGGTTCACCGGGCATTTATCACCAGTTAATTCCAAAGCATGTGCCAAGATATGATACATGACGCATTGGCTTCACAGCAAAGGGTATTGGTTGTTTCCACTGGTATGTCGGTAAAGCTTACTACTTTCTATCGTGTATCTTCTGGTGTCTCTTGAGATCGTTCAGCCTCGTAAAAGCCTTGCCGCATTCCGGACACTCGTGCGGCCTTTCCCCTCGATGGCTGAGCTCATGATTCTTGCGATGAAAGTTGCGCGAAAACGTCTTGCCGCACATCGTGCAGGCGTGGGTCGATGCCTCGCGTTTTGTTGTAGCAGTAATGAACTTCTCAGCTAAATCACTCATCTCGGGATGGAACGCGCGTGTGTGTCGCTCCAAATCTTTCGCGTTGGCGAATCCTTCAGCGCCCAGGCAATCTGGAACTTCGCACTGGAACGGTCTTTCGTGAATGTTGACGTGTCGGTTGCGAGCCTTTTCATCCTTGAAGCCCTCTGAGAAGTATCTGCATGTGATCCTCGTGCACTTGAACCGCCTTTCCTCGTCGTAGAATCTTTTGTACGCCTCCTTCTCGTGTGCAGTTGGGCCAGACTTGCTCTTGGGAATTGTCTCAAGAGCCTTCCGATTCCGATCTAAGGCCTTGGAGAGGTCTTCAATGCTGATCTTGTGTTGTGCATCGAAGCCTTTCTGCTGGAACGTGTAGATGTGGCTAGTGAGCCCCACTAGATGATCGTGGAGGTCGAGATGCTCGAATACCCTGCACTTGGCCTTACAGTCGTCCACCAGGCCGTTGGACCAGTCCACGTCGCCATAACGCGTCATGAAATCATCCATGGCTTTAAAGATGCTTTGTAATTGACCTGCCACGTCGTTTGCCTCGTCGAGGAACCTCTCCCCTTGGCCTACCCAAGCGTTGACATGATGGAACCATTTCGCGATGGCATAGTCCTGGAAAGCAATCGATCCGTCCAATACGTATTGTCGACGTTGCGCTTGATCATCCGGGTCGTCGACGTCGAAACAGGGAAAGGTGAGGTACTGTAGACACAACGTCGCCAACTCGCATTCGATGGATGGCTCGTGGATATCTTTCGTGATACTGGTGATGTACCTGTTCCCGTCAGGATAAGGACTTGACGAACACAGACTGATTGACGTACGTCTTAGCTGTGCTATGAACGAGAGACACTCGGTCGCCATTAACAAGCACTAGTGAGCCACATGTTTCGTAGATGTGATCGCGGAGATGATGGTGTTCGTATTCGATGATCTGACAATCTACATCGATCGAGAGTGCAACCTGTATCTCCTTCCAAGTAAGCCGGCGCTTGGCACACACTAACCTAGAAGACAAAGTCGTGGTTAGAATACAATAGGCAGATCATGGGATCAGAAGACAACACACCATCCGAGTAATTGCTTGGTTTTTGGCCATCCTCTGCCAGATCTTGTTTTGACGCGTGTGACTATCCGCTCATATCTGTCGACGCGGTTAATGAACGCTCGATGTGCGTGACGAATGTACGAATATCGGGCCCAGAAGATGTCGCGGGTTCCCTTCGGTGTGTACCTACGCTTGTGCGAGTCCTGAAGGAAAGTTCTCGGTCTTGATATAGTCCAAAAGCTCCGCTAGCGTCATACACGCGTGAAGGTCGAGCAAAACCAATTTGGCGTAAAGGAACATGCCTGCCTTAGAATTAGACCCTGACTGCGTGTAGTGATTCATCAAGCGACTCACCTTTTGCGTTAGCCACGATAAGGTTACGAAGGTATTCTTTCATGTCTTCCGTGAACAATGGAAACTTTGCCTCAATTCGATCTACCCACATCCTGGTGTAGGCCTTGATGTCGCCCTCGTTGTCTTTTTCCGAGATCTGCAGAATCTTGGGCGCCATCTTGGTAATAGCGGAGCCGTGAAGCTTTCTCCTTATATCGGCGTGGTCTTGACTCGCGATCAAAAGGCGGATAGTGCCCGGATCAACCGCATCACGCTGACCTACGAGTTCGGTTAATACATCCAACACTTGGCCTCTCTCCGCCCCTTCACACTCGTCCAGCCCATCAACGATGATGAAGAGTTTGGATATGGTGAAGCAAAAGTCTTCAAGAAGCCTCTTCGCTTGGTTGAGAGATCTGAGGGACGGTTCTCCACTCGAGCTACGCCGTGTGTAGCAGGGAGGCAGCATCTGTGGATAATGGTCTAGTAGTTGATCTGCCAGGCCCTTCAGTAAACCGACCGCGGTGCTACTCGTTGGATCGCCATCGTGACAGTAAAAGAAGCAGGTGATGAAGTCAGGCCTGGCCTTGCACTCTTCGACGATGGCCGATGCCAGTATCGTTTTGCCTGTTGTCAATCAGCGTCACACCGCAGACACAGTGACAATACACACCGGCTCCTGGTATTCCGTAGATCCAGACGACGGGACTGTTCGGGATATCGGAGTGTATCCAATGTTTGATGGTTTCGTGCTGTGTTACCCACTTGGCAGTGGTCGCGCATTCGCTCCGTATCTTGCAGAAGCTGTCATGATCGAATCGAGGTAAGTCTCCAACAGCCAGCCAGTCTTTGACGAGCATCAGCTTCTTGGTCTCTTCTCGTTTGACATTCTCTTCCAGCTTCGCCCGGAAGTCGGCTACGTCGTCCTGGTAGAGTCGGTATTGGGCGAGACTAGCACGGCACTCAACTATGTCTTTGTGCCGGCGAAGACTACTCAAAACTCCCTCAAACTTCGTATGGAAGTTCTTCCACCTGTATCCCAAGATTAAGCATCAGCGCCATTTTCTCCTGGATTCCGCACGCAGGATACTGACATGGATTTGAAGAACCGAGTCCATACTGTATCAAGATTAGCTAAAGCATGCGCGGAAATCCGGCAGGGCTAGCCTACATCTGCCCGAAAAGAACTTGAGCGTTTGTTGATGGAAATCCAAGATGTCCAGATACATCATCTCCAAGGCGTCAATCATATGGGGCGATTTGTGAAACAATGATTCGTATTCGACCAGCAACGGTAGCTGTTCGCCAATTCTCTCATATGCGTCCAGAAGTTGTTCGAATGAGTCGGCAAATGTGCTAGCCGTCTATGCCATGCGTTAGCTGAGGCATCGCTCCTCATTGACCGTCAGTGTACCTACCAACAAGATGAACTTCATAGGACCCCAGACGAAGGCGACCGCGTCTGAAACGTTGAGAAAGATCTCTATGACTTGGCCAAATTGGTGCATGGCCTCCAGACATGATTTGACACGAGCGAGGTTCATCGCTTCCATTCGGTGCTCTTGCTCATGTTGAACCTGGATTAATGCTTTGCAGAGCTGATCGTATGTCGTCGTGCTAAACTCCGTGAGTTCCGTGCCTGTGAGTTTGTTGCGAAACTGCGTTATAGCACGGGTCAAGGCGGTTCCTGTCGCATGCCGTGGTGGGGTGATCCCTCCGACAAGGGTCGGTTGCTGGGATAGAGCGCCCGTCGAAGTGCGACTGGCCGATTGCGAAGGTATTGGGCCCGCCATTGAACTTACTCATCAAATGTGGTGTGGATGTTTGGGTTTGCCAGTCAAAGATGGGATGGTTGTGCCGCCATGGCAGGCAGCACTAAAGTCGAAGATATGTGCGCAGGCCATGACTGACCAGCTGCGTTGCTGTGGAGGGGGCGGAGCAAGGCTGAAGATGTGCGTGTGGCTTATCGGCATGCAGGACGCGGCGAGAGGCTGCAACGTAGCCTCCCGGGTGCGACGAGCTGAAAAGACCACATATCCGCAGCACACCAAGCAGCGCCTCTTTCGCACGTCTCACGGATGTCGATTCAGATATTTCGAGTGTAGTCTAGAAGTTGGTTGAAGTAGACCCTTTTCCGCGAACCGATCATCTGCTCGGGTGGCATTGTTGCCAAGCCGCTAGGTCAGAACGCGCTTACGTCACGCGTCATGGCGCTCAAGCACCTACTCAACGACGACGATGTCGTCAACTTTCACCACGAGAGACACAGTCCGCATCTCAACTGGTTCCAGCAAGATTCCTTGGATCAGTATGCGATAGACGCTAGGATCGGGCGCGAGGCTGATGATCGTAGTTTTACGGCGGCTCTACCAACTCAATCCTGGGATCAATACGTGGACGAACTGCTTGGGTCACAGGACGCACAATGCGACCCACTACTGGATGGAATCGACATTAACGGCTCCTTTCAAGAGACGAGTCGCGATATTGAAGACTGGACGACCGGGCAAGCGCAGCATGAGTCCACTGAGCAGACTCTAGCTGAGCAGGAACATATCTGTTATGGCATGGTAAGTAGGGAACCAACAATTGCGTAGACATTGTCACATTTTCGCGGCGAGCTAATACGTTTCAAGATTTTTAGAGCCGCTGTTCGCCTCCGAGGCGACATGGGGGAGCTTCATCGTAAGCTCAACAACATCGCATCATCCCCGATCACAGGCCATGCGCGAATGATGATCATCAAACCCGAAGCCCAATTCGTTGTAGCTTTCCCCGAAGGGGGTGTCATTGGAGATGTGAACGCCCAGTTAGACGGAGCATTAACGAGCATCGCAGAACAAGGCTATGAGATCGATCTGGAGGTCTTTGCTCCAACGGTTGTCATCCAGGAGACTATAGGTCGCGCCACGAAGGACAAAGAAGCCGTAGTAAGGGTCCAGATAAATGTGTACGGCCCATCTACAGCCGCTTGCGACATTGGCAAGGAGTTGTCGCAGCAAAAGATCTACCTGCAACGCCCTGTATACATACGAGATGGTTATCGATACGAGAATCCCCATATTCTCACCCTCCCTGGCTTCCAAGGCTCGACACCTGAGATACCAACCATCACAGAAGAACCTTTGCCTGACAAGGTCGGTCTGCAGACATTGAGAAGCACCCTCCAAAATGTGTATTCCTCTTTGACGCGAGATCGCAACCTGCACGGGTTAGAGGGTGACGAGCGCCTCAATACCGATCTTTTGTTGTAAGTTCCTTTCAATTCGTCTCCGGCTACCTTTTTCTCTCACTTCCGAATATCGATGCTTCGCGATCACCCGCTGATAGGCCCAGGCACCAGAAGACAGCACTTTCTTTCATGATGCAGCGCGAAGACGGGCCCATACCAGAGGAGTACACACTCTGGCGGCCGAGCGAAGAAGATGGAGTCCAATGGTATGTATCCTGCAAACGGCCTTGCATGATACTGCTGACACCACTAACAGCTATCGTCATGTTCTGACGAAAGGACGTTGTGAGTTCGTTCTTTACACGTTCAAATTTTGAAGCATACTAAGAATTCGATAGCCATGGTTGAGCCTAAGGAAACCGGTGGTGGTATCCTGGCAGACGAGATGGGGATGGGAAAGACTCTCTCTGTACTAGCACTTGTACTACGGACGCTAAACACTGCGCACGATTGGGCTATCCGCATCGATGATCTGAACGATGCGAGTTCGGAAATACCAAAGAAGAGACGCCGCTCTGGAGCGACCCTGATCGTTGCATCATCAGACCGTGAGTATACCATCTCTGCGATACACGCTAGCGCTCTTGTACTAACGGCGCAGTCATGATCAATGAATGGTTTCAGGAACTAGATAAGTAAGTCACATAGACCGTTGCATACTCTCCAGCTGCTTACCTTGAAAGGCATTTTGACGAGCCTACCCGTAAAGCCTTGAAAGCGATCAAGTACCACGGCCCTCATCGACACGTTTCACTGGAGAGGCTCATGGAGGCAGATATTGTCATCACTACTTATCATACGCTCGCGTCAGATTTTGCCAGGACCAAGCACGAGTTGAGGCATATTGAATGGTATCGTCTTGTCATCGATGAAGGTGAGCAAGCCACCACTTGTTGACCGCCCACCATTGACGATGATTTCGCAGCCCACATCATCCGACGGCAGTCCACGATCTTGTACCGGACTGTAGCTGACATCGCGGCCCGATCGAGGTGGTGTCTGACTGGCACGCCTATACAAAACCGCTTGGAGGACATCGGCTCTTTGTTTGCCTTCTTGAGAGTGAATCCGTTTCACAGCTTGTCGAACTTTCGGAAGACTATTGCTATACCTTTTGATGAGGGCGGTAAGAGACGTACCACTGCGATTGAGCGCTTTACTCGTCTTCTGGACTCCATGTGCTTACGCAGAACCAAGGATGTTCTGCATTTGCCCGCTGAGCAACATCGAGTGAGAGATGTACTGTTCTCACAAGAAGAGCGATTGCAATACGAGCAGACCAAAGAGATCATGTTCCGAGCTGTTCGCAACCAGAATGGCACGTTCGATCAAAAGAGTACGCTGGGTATGTTCCAGGTACAACTTCAGCTACGAATTCTCTGCAACCATGGTACTTGGCAGCAGCCATTCTCCTGGAATCGCCGCAAACTGCATTTACTGGATGAGAGGGAGGCCATGGAGATCTCCCTGGGGCGAGACGGCGAGATCACGTGCTCAGTATGCCGGCAACCCATGCCCGCCTTCAATAGCGGCTCCATGTTCCATCGCTATACCGAGAATTGCCGACATGTGCTGTGCTCTCAATGCCTAATCCAGAGCACGCCTCGTGGTCACGACGAAATACCCAGCAAATGCCCGTTATGCCAGCCCCTGTGGAATATGTCCACCGAAGCACATCATTTCATGGACGCATCACATGAAGATACCTACTTTCGAGCAAACGGACGGTCTTCGAAGATGGAAGTCTTAATGAGCGACGTCTCCGTCGATATATGGGATACGAAAAGGTATGCGCGATGGGATTACGCAAATGAAGGGCAAGATTGACAACCCCGCAGCATCATATTCACTTGCTGGACGCGCACCCTGAACTTGCTACAGAGCTACCTTCATTACATGTCTAACAACACGTGGACCCATGAGCGCATCGACGGCGAATGCTCAACTACCAAACGCGAACGTATCTTGCATCAATTTACGGAGGACCCCAATTTGCGAGTACTGATCATGACCACCGGCACAGGCGCGGTAGGGTAAGTCAGGCAGACTCTTTGATTGGCTGCCCTCGTTGACTTCGTCTTCCAGGCTCAATCTGGCAACCGCAAACCGCGTTTTCATTGTCGAGCCCCAGTGGAACCCTTCGGTCGAGAACCAAGCTGTAGCACGAGCTCTGCGCCTCGGACAAAAGCAGGCAGTGTTGGTCACACGTTACGTTGTGGAACAGACGGTGGAGCAGGTGAGTACATCGAGGGACTGGGTACATCACTCGTTACTGACCTTGCCAGGACATGCGCGCATTGCAGGACACCAAACTGGAAAGAGCCAATCTCATTCAAAGTGGCTGAGTGATATGTGCCAGGCGCGTCGCCACGTTCGCTTCCGCGCCTCTTGCATCACATCGGCACCACCTCCAAGCCCATACCTTGGATGCAGTGGATGTATTGTTGAGAAATCCATCAAATCATTTGGCTGCATACCCCGTGGGTGATCCTGCAACGTTCACAGCTGAGATCGCAACGACGTTCTCCGCGAATGGTTCCTGCAGCCTGCTGTGCAGAAGGGCTAGGCTTTGAAGTGACCCACAATTGACAGAAGCGTGCTTCCTTCCCGCAGATGCGCGCTTTGTATTCTGACCATGTCAACCTTCCACAATGCCTTGTTTACCCCTGTGCGCCTGCAAGCCACTGTGTGTGGCATGATAAACCGGTGAGCAATCCGCTCGCATGGGTATGGCGCATCACAAGAGCTGACCTAGCCTTCACCGGTGTCTGCTGCGCCACCCGTCCTTCTTGTGTGTCGTCCACATGGACGTAATGAATGACCCAATGGTGGACGAATGACACCCATCGAAGTGCGGGTATCAGTCACTCGTCCGCGCTAAAGATTGCAGTGCACTACATGCCGAGGCCGCGCATTCCACCGTTACCGAATATTTCCCCCCCAATGTACACAACCAAAGTACCCTCGCGAAAAGACCCCTCGGGCTCGAGCGCGAAAGACAGAGAAGACCGAGGCCGCGCAAGCAAGTACTTCTACGCGCTAGAAATTGTAGTGCAAATTTGGGGGCTGAACTTCGCTCAGGCGCCTCCCCACCATACCCTCACAACCCCGTGTCCGCCCCGCCGTTGCTGACTAAGCCTTCACAGCCCTCACCCGCCCATCACTTCAATGCGAATGGTCACAGTGCACACCCTACTACATTCTATCTGCATGCATGGTATTGTTTCGATGCGCAGTCAGAAGCGTCAAACATATCGAGAGACTCTGATTCAAAGCGGCGTTCGCTGTATTCCGCGATTGTGACAGGCTCGCAAGGCTCTTCGCGCAGCCATGGATGGGCATCTTCTCTAGCAATGGGAAGCAGCAGACGTACTAATAGCGACGCTAATTTGATAGTAGACATGTTTCTTCACGCTACAGATCGCGATGCTAATCTCAGCGTCGCGAGTACACCGTCATACTATCAGCTCCACATGACTACCACTCTTCCGCGCTAGAGGTTGCAGTGCAAGGCGCAGTCGAATGCGGCGCGCAGCACCCTTCCCCTTGCTGTTCCATGCCGCACATGCGCTCTACCTCCTCTTCCGCGCTAGAAATTGCAGTGCAATCGGCCACGGCTACTACTTTCCAGGAAGCTGGTGCTGCCTCTGAAATGATTGGTACCTTCGCCCCGGGCCCGTCTGTGTACGCGTCCGCGCTAGAGATTGCAGTGCCTGCGCAAATTCACGCTCAGTCGCCGTACCACCATACTCCCTGTCGCACACATAATTGATGTTCCAGGCTTCGCTCACCATCGACCGCGAGCCGTGCCGCGCCCCGCCTCAGCTGATAACACCCCACATTCGGCCATCCTCAACGCTCCTGTTTACAGAGTAGACTCATCATCATGGTCCACTTGCGCGTGCGCATCAGTCCCATTCGCTAGTCATAAGCGTCGTATACATCAAGAAGTCTCAATCTCGAACTCCATTTGTGGTGTTGTCTTGGTGCGACAGGCGAGACAGGCTGTTCGCATCCTGGCGAATTCACTCGCACAGGTATCTTGCCTCTCTTCTGCGCTAGGAATTGCAGTGCACTTGTGCGGAAGTGCCATGATCCTGGCTTCTTATCCATGGACGCGCGCCCGCAGTAGAGCTTGTACGGAATTGGACAAGCACTGCAGTGCTTCCTGCAGGAGGAAGGGCTGGTAATGTGCAGAGCAACCCGGTCTGCACTGCAATTTCTAGCGCAGGAGATGGAGTGTCTGACATTTGTGTATGTTCCATCTTGCACGCTAGCAAATGCAGTGCATGTTGATAATGTCGAGAGCCGCATGATGCAGGTTAGATCCACCGACATAATTGGTCACTCTGCCCGACCAAGCACTCGTCCGCGCTAAAGATCGCAGTGCACAATTCAGCCCCCGACTATCTTACTCACGCTAACAATTGCAGTGCAACGGGGAAAATAGAATCACGCCGACCCAGCGATCAAAGCCGTTCATCTGATAGGAACAACAGACCAATGTACCTACCTGTCCAGGATCTATGCTCATCTGCTAGAGTCTGCCGTGTAAGAAGTCTTCGGCACACGCTCCGGTCTTGGTGAAATAGCGGCTTCCGCACCGAAGCTGATTTTACAGATGCATCGCGTCACCACGCGCATCACTCCCCACATCGTCATGCCCGGTAGCTCCGGCTTCCTGCCACCACGCGAGCAAGTCATGCCTTCAGAAGATCTCTGTTGCATGTCAAGAGTCAAAGTAGTGGCTTAAAACCTGTGCATTTCCATTGTACTACAGAACCTGATGAGTAGAAGACAAGCTTGACGCATCTCAGACAAAATGGCCCGGCCCAACAACTATCACATCTTCTAAAAAACGCCACACTACCGACGAAGCACAATCTATGAACACCTCACAGCACACGCTGCATCTCCAGCAACTGCGAACACACGCCCCTAATTCCTCTCGACCTCCTTCAACTGAACCCACAACGGGTCCTTCTCCCAGACGAAGAACGCCCGCTGGTTGTCCGGCCAACCGTGACTTCCGACTTGCAATTCAAGGTCGAAGTTCCAGATGAAGCGAGCAGCAATGATGCGCAGCTCGTTATAAGCCAAATTCTTGCCGATGCAATTCCGAGGGCCGAAAGAGAAGGGTTGGAAGGCAGACTTCTTGTCTGCGTTGAACTGTGGGTCGTGGTAAGGATGGTCTGGGCCGAGCCAGCGTTCGGGAATGAAGGAGTCGGGCTGGACGAAGTTGTTGGGGTTGTGGTGGACGGCCCACTGGAAGATCGTGATAAGAGTCTGAGAGGTGTTGTTAGCTGTGATTGTCCATGTTTATTCGAAGTACTTCTTCTGACTGATGGATGACAGGCGAAGTGATCTGGAATGACTTACACCTTTGGGAATCCAATAGCCGTTAACGTACTCGCCAGGAGACACACGTGGAGGCGTATCCGCAACGGGCGGGTACATTCGTAAAGTCTCCTCAATGCAGGCATGCAGGTACTTGAGTTGCGCAGTAGACAACATCGTTATATCTTTCTCGTTGGCGAAGGCCGTCCGAACTTCTTGCTGGAGCCGTTCGAAAGCCTGCGGGTTCGTTGACATGAAGTAGGTAAAGCCTGAGAGTGTCGTGGCTGTCGTCTCGCTGCCAGCCACGATCAAAGCCTCGGAGTTGCCCAGGATCTCTGCATGGCTCATGCCCTTCTCGTCGTTGTTGCGAAGGATGTATGTCATAATGTCCTTCCGGCCGCCGGGTGCTGCGCCAAGTGCCAGCCTTCGCTCTACCTTCTCGTCACTCATGATCCTGTTGTTATGACGCGTTTGCATGTCCTCTTTAGAGATCATCAGCCGTAGGATCCAGCTGAGGCCAGGCATCTTCATCAACGCAACAATTTGCGCGCCAGCTCTGATGCCAGCGAATATCATGGAAACCCATGGATGGTAATCGCTGCTGTCCAGGCAGTGGAACGATTCACCCAGGGCCAAATCGCCGATGATGTCGAAGGTGGTGAAGTTGAACCATTTGACTACGTCCGTCGGGGTGTGTTGCGCGGCGTCTTTATGTAGGTGGGCAAAGAGCTTGTCGACGTACTCCATGATCAACGCCTCCTGACCCTTGATAGCAGCATCGGAGAAAGCATGTGCCATAACACGGCGTTGACGTCGATGGTCCTCTCTGCTGCTAGGAAAGATCGACTTGCGTGAAGTGTCTCCGCCCTGGTAAAATTCATGCCACCTGCCGAATTCGGGTCGGCCACTGCGACTTAATCCGAAAACCTCAGGCCATCCAATAGTTCCGTTGATGGATATGGAGTTGGGCGAAGTACGCACCATGTCACCGTACTTTTCATGGTACTTCAGGACCTTTTTGGCGAAAGTTCCTTGGATGCTGTTCTCGATGGCCAGAGGGATCCCGGAAACGGCGAAATGCTTCGGTCCAGGAATCTTGCGAAGGGGGTGGAAGAAGAGACGATAGATTGCAACGCCGATTGCACTGACGACACCCTGAGAAAGCGTTAGAGGGTGATTGCATCAGCGAGATGAGAACACTTACAATTTCGACCAGAAGCAGCACTGCAGCTGCAGCCTTCTGAAACGACATCGCTGTCGACAGGTTGAAGATGATATCAGATGTGGAGTGACTTCGACGGCGGCTTGGAAGACAGAAATCCTGGTCCTCGAATCCGCGACGTGAGATGTGATGCGGATATGTGTAGAACGATGGCGATACCACTCCGCACGGGAGGACGACATTATATATGCCCTGCGGCAAAACCCCCTGGGTAGCAAGACTCTTTACCCTGTCTCTTCAACCATGGCTTCTACAGACTGTATGATGCCTGCCGACGTTTCGCTTTGACATCTTGCGTGGACCCCATCCGTACGCGAGAGGATGATCCTGTGGTGAACGACCAGGCACAACGGTCGGATCTCGAATGTTTCCGGGCGCTAGCCTCGAAGCGTGACATCTGCCAAAATCTCCGATGGGAAACGCTAGGGTCGGATCGCGACTGCTCCGGCTTCCGTCCTTATTCACGCGCCGTTGCGTCGTTGAGCGCGTATATACCGTATTGGAGGTTTTAGTGCGAGTGTTAAGCTGGGATGTAGCAGGTACGTTCTTCGTCTAGTGCTTCCAAACGGATGTCGTTGCTAGCCGTCCGGTCGCGCCAAGCTTTTGGCTCGGTTCTACATACCCCACGATCGGCGTAATCTCTTGTGCCCAACGCCAAGCCGGTACGTAGGACGAACGTTATCAGCCTCCAAGGAGATGTGTTCTCTACCGCACCAAATCTGTTCCGCGCGAGGTGTTTTCAGCCTCGCAATCCACCAAGCATCCCGTCGGTCATTTTCTCAACGA